ATTCAAGTTTTCACAGTTGAAGCTTTCCTATGACAGCTCACATGTTGGTCTAGGTGGTGAAGATGCGAGCAATTCATCAGAGTGACTTCTGCCTTGTCAGCCTATCTAGTCAGTGGGACCACTGGCTGAAATGCTCCTGGAGGTTCCATATGGACCAATGGCTAGGGTAGAATCCACCCAGGGAAGACCCCTTAGTGTTTCTGAGGAATCCCCAGGCTCTGGGTGTCAGGAAGGCACTAATGCAGTTCCTGAAAACATGTTTATTTTGAGGAAGCATTCTTTGGCTCATCAGCCACTGTTCTTATTGATCTCCTGCTTTAATATTATTCTTTTCAGCTTGCTCTGTCTTTTTATTGTTTGGTGTTGTTATATCCCATCAAGTCACCTCTGACCTATGGTGACCCTATACATGAAAGCCCTGCAGGGTGTCCGTCCTTGTAGCCATGCTGAGCTGTTGTCAATTCAAGACGGTGGCTTCCTTCATGGAATCAATCCATCTCATATTTGCTCTTCCCCTTCTTCTGCCTTCAATTTTCCCTAGCATGATTGTCTTCTCCACTAAATCTTACTTTCTTGTGATGTATTTGCAGTCCAACCACTTCAGTTTTGACAGCTTTGCTTCCAGGGAAAGTTCTGGCATGACTTGATCTAGGGCCCAGTCATTGGTCTTCCTGTCAGTCTGAGGGATCTGCAAAGCTCTCTTCCAGCTTCACGTTTTGAACGCATTAATTTGCTTCCTTTCACCTTCCATCACTGCCCAGCTTTCCCACCCATCCGCAGTGATCAATAATGCTATAGTGTGGACAATCTTGGCCTAGGTCTCCAGTGAACCATCCATATACTTTATCTTTTCCAGTGCCTTCATCACTGCCCTTCAGTCTCAGTCTTCTTCATTTTTTTGGGCTGCAGCCCCCCTTTGAACTGATGACTGAGCCAAGGGATGCAAAATCTTTCACAACTGCCATTTCTCCATTGTTGACATTAAAGTTGTGCAATTCTTATGCGGTCATGATTTTTGTTTTCTTAATGTTCAGCTGCAGACTGTGTTGATGTAGAGCAGCATAGAAACATTGCAATAAATTAATGAAAAGCAGCATTTGCAAATTCTCCATGTCTCTTTTGGTTTCTCCTCATTGGTTTGGTTGTCCTCATTGCAAACCGTGAACAGTCTTGTGAGCAAGTTGACAGCCAACCCTAATATGCCTGCCTAAAAAAAATCCATCTAAGTGTACAAAAATCCATTGATAAAATGGTGAGCTTCACTGGCTCAGTAAGCAGGCTCCTCCCACCTTCCCATGTTCTGACCAATGAATGCAAAGCCACTATGTTAACTGCCAAACTGTAGCTGCTTACATGTTCATGCAAAAACATGGTTAGGACAGAGGTCCCTCTTCATTGTACCATCAAAAGCCCAGTCCATGAATTTTGTTAAGCTGGGCTCTGTGTGAAGCTTGCAACACCATCAAGAACATCTGTACCACTTGAATTTTTTTTTCCTGACACTGGAGATTTGAGCATTTTGCCCAGATGACTGAACAGGGTCAGAGGCAGTGTGCCTATGTATACCAACTGCTGGGGAACATCAGTTCTCCTGCACTCATGCCCTGCTAGTGGAGTTCCCATGAGCAGCTGGCTTGTCACTGCGGGATCACAATGCTGGACCCGTGGTCTGAGCACGGCTCTTCTTAGTCCTTATGAGAGCTGGAAGTTCAGATAAGGCAGCCAACAGAGCACTTTGAGCACAGCACACGTGGGCTGAGAGGACCTGTAGTGCAAGGACGTGTGCTAATTTCATTTTTATTTGCAAAACAGACAAGCATGCCTGTCTGAGTGCCCATTATGAGCACAATCATGAGCGCACCAAAAATATTTGCAAACTGTTGAGCACGTCCTCCTGTTCCTCTCATTCCCAATTCTCAGTTCAATTTGAGCAAATTTCCTCAGTAGACTGAATCAGTCCCATCAGCCCCCTCAGCACACTGAATCAGCTCTTTGGAGGAAATTTGCGCAAACTAGGAAAACTGTGCCAATTCAGGGATAGCTGCACAAATCTCCCACTCGGGTGCTGCTCAATTTCCATGTTTTCCATTCACACAGAGAACACAGTGATTACAAACAAGCATTACAGAAATACTGCAAGTCTCCAGTCCTCTCATTTTTTGTTGTTCAGTCGACTCTTTGCAACCCCATGGAGAACATTGCTCCAGGTTCTCCTGTCCTCCACCATCCCCCGGAGTACACCCAACCCCACCCCCACCTCTCCAGTGACCCCATCCAGCCACCTCATCCTCTGCCATCCCCTTCTCCTTTAGCCCTCAATCGTTCCCAGCATCAGGGTCTTTCCCAATGAGTCCCTCCTTCTCAATAGGTGGCTAAAGTATTTGAGCTTCAGCTTTAGTACCTGATCTTCTAAAGAGCCATCAGGGTTGTTTTCCTTTAGGATTGACTGATTTGATCTCTTTGCAGTTCAAGGGACTCTCAGGAGTCTTCTCCAACACCACAATTCAGAAGGATCAATTCTTCAGTTCTCAGTCTTCCTTATGGTCCAACTCTCACAGCCATACATTACAAGTGGAAAAACTATAGCTTTGACTATACGCACTTTTGTCGGCAGGGTGATGTCTCTGCTTTTTAGTATGCTGTCTAGATTTGCCATAGCTTTTCTCCCCAGGAGCAAGTGTCTTTTAATTTCTTGGCTGCAGTCATCGTCTGTGGTGATCTTGGAGCCCAAGAATATAAAATTGTCACTACCTCCATTTCTTACCCATCTATTTACCAGGAAGTGAGAGGTCCAGATGCCATGATCTTAGTTCTTTTAATGTTGAGTTTCAGGGCAACTTTCCTCTCCTCTTTCAACCTCATCAAGAGGCTCTTTAGTTCCTCTTCAATTTTGGCCATTAGAGTGGTATTATCTGCATATCTGAGGTTGTTGGTATTTCTTCCAGCAATCTTAATTCCAGCTTGCCATTCATCTAGCCCAAGCCTTCATATGATGTACTCGCCCTCAAATTTGCAGGAGGCCAAAGCAACAGTTTTGCCCATGAAACATCACCACTCAGGGATGGGAAGCACGCAACAACACACTAGTGGCACAATCCTGCTCACAAGTACTTAGACGTGACTATGGTCAGTGGGGCTTACTCATCAGTGACTGTGCACAGTGAATTATAATACACCTTAAGCTTTCCATCTGTAGGTTCATGCAGGTGTGCATTAATTCCCCACCACCACATGTATGTTTGTTAATGTTAATGGGGGCTGACTTATGAGAATATATGACACCAAACCTCTTCCAACTACATTGGCTGCCAGTTGAAGTCTGGGCCCAATTCAAAGTGCTAGTATTAATATTCAAAGCCCTAAATGGCTTGGGGCCAGGCTCCCTGAAAAATTGCCCTGCCCCATATGTACTCACCAAGACCATAAGGTCTTCTTCAGATGCCCTTCTCCAGGAGCACCCTCCAAAGGAAGTAAAGAGGATGGCTACCAGGAAAAGGGCCTTCTCGGTTGTGGCACCCCAGCTATGGAATGAGTTTCCCAGAGAGGTGCACCTGGCACCTACTCTTTAGCCCTTTTGGCACCAGCTAAAAACCTTTTTATTCTTCCAGGATTTTAACAGCTAACCTTTCAACTGTAGTTCTTATATTGTATTTTATCAATAAGATGCTATATATATTGATAACATACAATCTAAGAGCTACAGTTGCTTATACCGATAAATCTAAGAACCATTGCTGCTATACCTCTGTGCTGATTTGGTTGCAACTACTATGATCTTATTGTTTTATGTCTTTTCTGTTGTGTGTTTTTAATTTTGATAACCACCCAGGCAGCTTCAGCTACTGGGCAGGATACAAATGAAACAAATAATTATATGGAGAGGTTCACCTGGTGCCTACTTTGCATTGTGTTCAAAAGGAAATAGACTTCTTGCTACCATTATCATCAACGACATCCTAGACTCTCTGGGGTCCTTCTGAGATTTCGCAAGTTCTTTCTTTTTAAAAGGTCCGTCTGGCGCCATCGTTATTTGTTTTTCGGCGTCAGGCAAAGACCTTTTTATTCAAACATCATTTTAACTGTTAATACTATTTATTTATTTTATTCTTCGGCCAGGGCGACTTATTTTATATTGTAAACTTGTTTTATATTTTATTGTATTATATTTTAATTGATATATTTGTGAGCCGCCCCGAGGCTTCGGCGAATGGGGCGGCATAGAAATTTTCTAAATAAATAAATAAAAGAATGTTTCAAAGGGATCTTTTCAGCTCTGACACCCCAATTGTGGAAAGTCCTCCCAAGAGAGTCTGACTTGCTGTCTGTGCTGTAATCTTTGGTGCACCAGGAGAAGCGCATTAGACTCTCACATCCTTCAGTCTGGGTTGCTTTTAAATACAGTATTTGCATTTTTGCTGCTGGCTTTTGCTTTGGTTTTACACATTAGCTTTAAATGTTTTAAAACAAAGTTGTATGTTACATTTTATCATGTTCTTTTATTTCATGGTCTTAGCCGCTGCAAATCACCCAGAGAACGTCAGCTATCAGGCAGTGCAGAATAAATAAGGAAAGGTTTGATGCCATGTCTGAGCTGCTTTTATTGATCTCTCTGCTGTGATGCATTTTATGTGGAAATTGTATTTTTATATTGTGCATTTATTGCTCATAATGTATTGTGCAATTAACAAGGTCATGGTGCTGCCCAGGGAATGTCGGATCTGGGGTGGAAGAAAGAAACAGAGGAAGACTAGAGGCCTCCCCCAAACACTTCTGGCTGGAAGTGTTCTCCAAGTGCTTCTAAAAAGCTTGTTAAACAGATTGTTCAGATGGCTGGGGAAGAGGCGTGGATTATAAAGCCACTTCCTTTCGCTAGTATAAATTGAAGGTTGTTTCCTCCTTGTTAATTTCAAGAGTGCTTGTGCAAGACAAGTGTGTGGCAGACACAGCTGAGGAAGGTGGCGGAGGAAGCTAACGGATCTGGTGCCCCACGAGGGCTAGAAATGGGAATGAAACTGCAGAAAGGTAAGTGAGAGATCCCAGAAGCTACTCTGTGGGACAGGGTGGGGGCTCAGCTTGTCAGACATTCTGGTGGGGAGCTGAGAGCAGAAGGAAAGGAGAAGCCCTTGAAGACTGCAAGTGGGGTGGCCTCGTTTTCCCCCACTGCAGGGCTGCTCCTGATTCTTCATGGCTGCTTGACAGGCAGGTACTCAACCGATGGAGGTTTTCCTGGCATGGGCCTGAGCTTTTGTTAGTTTCTGTCCATTCTGCAGCTGTTAAAGGGCACAGGAGTGCTGCCAGAAAGAAGAGGCAGCAATCCCAGTTGGACACCTTCTTGAGATGGGTTTTGCATCATTTAGTAATTAATGGACTACAGGCAGGCCACGAAATATGTTCTCTTCCCTAAGGGAAGATTTTGTGGAATGGAGATGGATTTCAGGGTTTGGCCTGGTGGCAGTCTGCGTATTAATCTAATGCCTTTGGATCAGTTAGGATTTCATCTGTCCTGTCCTAGAGTTACCCTTGGCCTCCTAAGAGGACGATTATGTGCTGAAATTAGGTATGCAAGGAAGAACTTCCTACAAGGTTGCTTTAAAAACATGGCCCTGTTCCTCTACCATTAATAGCAGCCTGACGCAAAGCAAATTAGTAAGTAATGAATTTTTCCTCCCTGGCCCAGCAATAAATGATGGGGAAACCCAACTGCACACAACCCTACACAGGAGGGATACTTGCAAGCGGTTGTGCATGGGATGCACGGTTAACCTTGTTGATTTGCTTTGACTCCAGCCCTCCGAACAGGAAGCTGCAATTCCTCGTGTGCCACCTGCCCCACCTCGCACCGTCCCCCTAACACACCCGAAGGGAACTCGCAGTGATGTGGGCAATACCATTGCACAGAAATCCGCCTTAGACCAGGAAACTGCACCCGCCATTAGGATCTAAGGCAGCCTTCCACTGCCCTGATGCCCCCCAGATATTGGGGGCCATAGCTCCCAGCATTCCTGGCCATAGGCTATTCTGGCTGGGGAGTATGGGTGCTGAAGTCTAAAGCATATGAGCCAGGGGTAATGCTGATGTCCAGTTTCTCGGCATAGACACAAAAAGCCTGCTGTAGGAAGACTGATCTGCTTGGAACACCCACTGGGATTGATAATCGATCACTGCAATTTCGGTGGCACTGTCCCCATCTGCAAAGCGAGTTTTCTTCGCTTTCAGACTGTAAAGAATCAGAGAAGAAGCCTCGCAATGCGAGGGGCATCTGGTCCCCTCCTTTGCCCCCGTTCGGTGTAGTGACGCTTTTCAGTGCTCGAATTAGCCTAAGGCACGCCTTCCGGCCCCTGGGGATGAGGGTAGCGGGAGAGCGGCAGGAATCGGGCGGTGGGGATACTTGGTTTTCATTAAAGGCGCCCACCCCACAAACCAGTTCCCCGCGCTCGGATTGGAGAAACGCGCCGGCAGATCGTGGGGTTGTCGAAAAGGAGCCACCTCCTCTGGCCTGCCGCACTTAAGAACAGGTGCCTCATTTTCTAATCCGGTGGCCATCTGAGCGGCAGCGCCCTTTCCCAGCAACGGGGCGCGGCGCCCAGGCTGTCCCCAAGGGGGGCTGGTTCGGCTGCAGAGGAAGAGGGCTGCACCATGAACGACGTGCTTTGCGGGGGGAAGGGGGGTGAGGAAGGCGGTGCGTCCTGACTCTTTCAGGGGCACCTTGGGCGGGAGAAGAGCCAGGACGCCTGCGTTCTGCCTGCTTTGGCAGCGCCAGGGTCCCGAGCATGGTGGACCCCACGCGGCGTGCGGGGGCCAACCCCCCATGATGTCTCCCCGGCCGGAAAATAGATTCCAACCGCCTGGCCGCCTCTTCAAAGAAGAGAGGAAGCGCTGGGGTTTCCCAGTGACGCGCCTTTGGGGATTCCACTCTGCGCGAGGCGGCGCGTGGGCGGACCACGCTTGGCCGCGCCTGGCGCAGGCCATGTACGTGTTTGTGTATTTCTGCCGCGCTCCTTCCTAGCCAGACAAGTGGGCAAAGGGCACGACCGGCGGAGCCGAGGAATCCCCGCGCCCACTGGCTTCCCCGAGAAAGCCCCTCGGCTCACGGGGGAGATCCTGGCTCCCTAGGGGTGATTCCGCCGCCCCCGCGAGAAGACTTCTGCTTGCAGGAGCTGGGCTGAGCGGCTGCTGGCCCCTGAGTGATGATGCTCGGCGCGGATTGGCCTGCGCTTAGAAAGTTAGCGCAGCACGGACGGAATCCGGTGTGTGCGTGTGTTTGTCTTGGCGTGCTAGTTCTTTTCTTGCAGAAAGTTAAGAAAGTTTAAGAACTCCTTCTCCATTCTGCTTTACAATAGGTATATACAGATTTTTTCTGAGCAGTTACAGAAACCTGCAGTAGTACAGATTATACTGCTTTGAAATGGAGATCGGGAATTGTTTGCTTGTGGGTTTATTTCAAGGGTGATTTAAAGCCACTGCTCAGGATCCGTTGCCTCCACTTTATTATTGACCTTAACGCACTTACATTGTTACCAAAACATGGGCATTCAGATTATAATTAACCATGATTTTTAACTACCAAATGCCAACTGGAATAAAAGTTTGTCTGTTTGAAGCCAGCAGTGACGAGGCCATGTGTGTCTTCCTGGCATTCCAAAGGTGTGGGACCACCACTGAAACAGCCCTGCCCTCAGCACCTCCCAGCCTTGCTGGTGAACCAGAGAGGAAGACCCCTGATGGGATCCTGGGCTGTTCTGAATGCCACCCACCCCCCAACACATCCAGGAAGTTTAGAAAGAGGGCACCCCAGGAAAAAGTTACATCAGATTTGGTAGTTTCCTATTAACAGGAAGATAGTTACACGGAGGGGATTTTTAACTTTTGTTTTTAAGTTACAACCTTTTTGAAGTGCTGCAGCCTGGCACTGTGTTCTGATCAGCAAGGGGCAGGTTTTACCCCTGACAGATGAAGCCCCCTTTTTGTCCACCTGACCTTGTGTGCATTTGAGTGTGGCAAGAGGGGCCATTCACGGCAGTGGAGATGATCACTGATTGGACGATGCTCGATGCTTGTGTGTGGAGCCTGTTTAATTCCTCCTGAATTAAAAGGCTGTGGTCATCTGGAGGACAACCTTGTGGGAGCAGGGAAGGATCTGTAATGCCTTTAGATCTGCAAGATAACAGAGCCAGCCCATTGCTCCTTGGTCCCTGCCTGAGTATAGAAACCTCACAAGCAGTATTTGTAATTTAAAAGAGTCTCTGTTGCTTTGGCCTCTTGACCGACCAGCAGTGTAAGGACTGGAGAAAGAGAGAGGTCACTGTTGGGCCCCAGAGTTGCAGGAATGGGTCGGGCTGAAGATGTGGCAGCCATGCTCTCCATCTCCAGTAGCATTTTCCACCGCTTCTAAGAGGAAGCGAGGTGGCCCAGAGCTGCACAGCCTCTGCACATTCGTCCGTGCAGCTATCACTGGTACTCCAGGGCAGGCCACTTCCAGTGTTCCATATATTTTGAACTACAAATCCTATTATCCCTAGCCATTGGCTAGGCTGACTAGGGCTCCTGGGAGGTGTAGGCGGAGATATCCTGTAGCAGTTGCCCACTCCTAGTTTATGAGATAGCAGACAGATCTAGAATACTATTATTCAGTTTTTTAAGCAGGCACTAAACACACTACATTGTGAAATCCAGATGAAACCAATACATGTATTTCTATTATTTCCCACATACCCATTAAAGACAGAGCCAGTATGGTGTATTGGTTAAGAGTGCAAGACTGGGACTCAGGCATAGAGTGAGTTAGAAGGGGTCTCCTGGGCCATCTAGTCTGACCCCCCCCCCCCAGCTCCAGCCGGCTCCACTCATAACATGCCTACCTTGTGCATGTCCAGCCTATCCTTAAACACCGCTCAGCCATGGAAATCACTGGGTGACTTTGGGGCATTCGCAAACTCTCAGCCCAACCCATCTCACAGGGTTGTTGTTGTTGTGAAGATAAGATTGGGAGAAGAGAATTATGTAAACTGCCTTGAGTTCCTGAGAAGGAAAAAAGGCAGGGTATAAATATAAATAAATAATAGTGCTCAAGGCAGCTAACATGAATAGGCAAAGTATTGTTTCGCTAAAACATAGCAACATCAAGGGAAATATATCAGTTAAAAACGTATCTGTTCCATAAAGATAAGAAATAAAGAGCATGTTGAAACCTAGATTAGCAGACAAATACTACCCAAATCAGAAAAACAACCCAACTCCCTCCCCCGCCTGTCAAGATGCTCTTCCAAACAGTTTTAAGTGAGCACCAAAACAGACAAGAAAATGCCTCTAAACAAGACTGTGGAACTGCAGGCATTTGGGACCAAATCTGGCCATCCAGGCAGGGCTCCCCAATGGCCCTGCCCCCTTCTCCCGCCCCACTCTGTCCCCAGCTGCCAGTCATTTGATTTCCCAGCCTTGGCGTGGTTAGTCCAGGTTCTGAAGGGCTGCAGTGCCTCTAGGGCTTAGCTGAAAGCAGTAAGAATTGTAGGGTGCGATCTGATGCCTGTGAGGCTCCAAACTTGCAGGCTTACAAGCATCCAGTGCAAGGGGCAAGGAGTTGTGGCAGCCATCTCTGTCCCTGCTGGCCGTGCATCCTGGGTGTTATCCAGGTGACCTTTTCAGCCATCCAGATTTAGGGCCAACAAAATGGAAGGAAGATGGTTGGGGTACCGACTGGAAACAGCTTGACTCTGAAGGCCCAGCTTCTTCCCCTGCCTGTCCCTTGGCATGCCCCTTCTCCCTCCAAGGTCCAGTTGAGACTGGAGGTGGTGGGGCAGCTTCCATGGCTCTTTCTGGTTTGTCTGTGATGGGGTGGGGTAGGTGTTTGGAGTTTAAGCATGGAGATTGGAGGGAGCCCCATGCTGAGATGCCAAAATGTCCTTCCCAGATGAGACCGCGAGATTGCAATAAAAAGACCATTGGATTGCGCCTTTCAGCTACAAAGTACTGGGTGTTCAGGCCCTGCCCTCTTTGCCTTTGCCCCACCCAGCCTGAGAGCTTCT